CACACACACACACACACACACACACAGAACACAGACACACAGACACACAGACACACACACACACACACACAGAACACACACACACACACAGAGAACACACACACACACACAGAGAACACACACACACACAGAGCACACACACACACACACACAGAGAACACACACACACACACACACAGAGAACACACACACACACAGAGCACACACACACACACAGCGACACACACACACACACACACACACACACACACACACACACACACACACACACACACACACACACACACACACACACACACACACACACACACACACACACCCCCACCCACACACACACACACACACACACACACACACACACACACACACACACACACACACACACACACACACAGAGACACACACACACACACACACACACTCACTCACTCGCTCACTCACTCACACGAACAGACACGCACAGTTAAGGGTTGAGGCCCTAAGTTAAGGGTTTGAAATGTGCTCCCCCCTTGCTAGGGGGGTTGGGGGGTAGATGGCCCCCTTGCTAGGGGGGGTTGGAGGGGTAGATAACCCTAAACCCCACCAAGGTTTGTGATTTGGGTTGGGAGGGTGGGACTTCGGCTCCTGCGCCGACCCCCCTTCCACTTTATGGGGGGGTCTAGGCGCACTCGCATGGCAAACCCTAAGCCCTAAGCCCTAAACCCTAAACCCTAAACCCTAAACCCTGAACCCTAAACCCTAAGCCCTAAACCATAAACCCCAAACTAGACACACAGGACCCCCGGCTCGGCCCCGAGGTGCTCGCAGGAACACTGCTCTACGCTGCGGCGCCCGCTTGCCCGGTCGTGTCTCTGAAGGACGGGCTGCTGATACTTAGGTTTTAGGGTTTCGTAGGTTTTAGGGCTTCGTAGGCTTTAGGGTTTAGGGTTTAGGGATGCTTTAGAATAGGGCTTCGTAGGTTTTAGGGTTTCGTAGGTTTTAGGGATTAGGGCTTAGGGATACTTTAGAATTGGGTTTCGTAGGTTTTAGGGCTTCGTAGGTTTCAGGGTTTAGGGCTTAGGGATACTTTAGAATAGGGTTTCGTAGGTTTTCGGGTTTAGGGCTTAGGGCAGGCTTAAGGGTTACCCTTAACCCTGAACCCAAAACCCTGAACCCTGCAAACCTGAACCCTGAACCCTAAGGAGGGTGCAAGCGTGTATGAAGTTGGGCCCCGAAGCGCTGGGTCCGCCCTCTTTCTTGCTGGTTCTTAGTAGGGAACTTTAGGGTTCAGGGTTTAGGGTTTAGGGTTTAGGGTTTAGGGTTAGGCCTTGTCTTCGCTACACTCGTGGCCAGCTGCACAGTGTCGTTAACAGCGTTGCACAATGCGACTTCCCGGGGGAGAGATCTCATTCAGAAGTTCTGGTGATCCCTTACATTCCCCCCAGAATTAAGGTTACTTGAAGAAGGGTTTAGGGTTTCGGGTTTAGGATTGGTGAGTGTCTATAAGGTTCCTGACCAGGAGAGGCGTGACTAGCACAGCCGCCGTGCGCCAAAGCCCAAGCAAGTGAGGCCGCGGCCCTTGACAGCTGAGACCCCAAACGCTTAAGCCGCACACGCCCCTGGACCCGAAACCCGAAGCCCCAAAGCATGCCTAAGCCGTAACCCAAAGTCGTAAACCCTGCAAGAGTTGTCCGGAAATGGCCTAAACCCGCGAAGCCTGCGATTTCGGGGCCCCCATGCTTCGTTTTCATGCAGCTGCTTACGCAACCCTCCTTCAAGGGTCTGGGGTCTATAGGGTTTAGGGTCTACAGAATCTCGGGGGCGGGTTCCTTCGCAGCTTCTTTGCAATGTTAGGAAGTATGCCAACCTCGGAGTTTTCAGAGCTGTGCTGGGCTTTAGTGCTGGTGCCCTCCGGAGTGCCGCTGTGCGAAGTAATTCAGCTTCCCGCCCAGACCATCTGTTCTTTGTTGGTGCAAGGACAAGGGTTTATTGCTTTGGGTTTTGGGTTGAGGACCCTGACAGCAAGAACTGGCGAGCATCTGTGGTATATTTCCGCAAAATTGCTCACAATGCCAACTGAAGGGGCATAGGCTTTGCCATTAGCAGCGAAGACCCAGCCTCTCCGAGAGCCAAGAATCCGAACTTTTTCACCCTAAACCCTAAACCAAAAAACAAACCCGAAACCCTAAACCCTCAACCCTGGGCTCCCAACATCTATAAAGAAACTGAGCCCGGGGAAATATGTAGCCGTCTCAGCGCAGCAGGCACAAGGCGGGGGCGGGAGTGGGGGGGGGGGGCCCTAGCTTGAGGGTTTGAGGGTTCGGGGTCGTTTATGCTCAGCGCTTACGCCGGGGCTCAGGGTTCAAGATTTGAGTTTTAGGCTCGGGGATTTAGGGTTCAGGCTTTCTCAAGTTTAGGGTTTAGGGTGAGAATGGTTTGGGCGGTGTTGGATCAAGGGGATAGAGCTGGCTCACAGCCAAGGGACGCGCCAAAGCAAGTCAGCTCTGTTTCCTGTCCCCAGTCTGCCTGATCCCGGTGCGTGGGTCGGTTGCACGTGGTTGCAAGAACCCAGGGTTCAGGGTTTAGTTTTAGGGTTTAGGGTTCAGGGTTTAGGGTTTAGGGTTTAGGGTTTAGGGTTTAGGGTTGAGGGATGTATGGTTTCTGGTGTATGGCCATCACCTGCGACAGCGGATCTACCAGCAGCAATTCGATGCAGGGTGGTTAAGAGTGGCTTGGGTACCCAGCACGATTGGGCCAAGCCGAGGTCAGACTCTGCGGATGCTAAAGGTTTAGGGTTTATGGTTTAGGGTTTAGGGTTTAGGGTTTAGGGAAATTTTAAGCCCCAAACCCTAAACCCCTGGACCCCAATTCCTGAACCCTTAAATCCCAGAACCAAGTCCTTTCGCCAAACACACCCTGAGACACGAAGTGTTCAGAACCAGACGCCTCAGCTCTTGAAAGAGGCGAGAAGTAAGGAGCCTCAGTGGAGCTGTGCAGCCCGAGCTGTTTGTAGCACTTCGCGTGGGCGGTACTTAGCACCCTTTCTCCGGTAGTGCCCTTTGTTACGACGAATCCAAAATCAGTTGGTTCGCTTGCCTGGGGTCCAGGATGGGCCAGGATCCCTGCAAGATATATCCGTATGATAGCCCTTTGCTTGCAGAGGGGAGGTTAGGTCGCTTTCCAGACTGGTAATTTCTCACTTCCAGCCTTTTTTCCTTGAGCATCTTGGGTCTGGAGGGTCTGCCAGTGACCGCGAGTGCATGAGCTTCCGCTGGTAATTCCTGAAGCGCTGGTCTAAAGCAGCATCCATGCAGGTCGGCCTAGCAGCTCTTACCGCAGAAAGCGCTCCGTAGGCGGCTTCTGAACAGTGCATGCCGCACAGAAGTCTCGCCGATCGCAGCGCCACATCCCCATGTCTGTACAGGAGTCCAAACTTTTAAGGGCTCTGATAGAAATACCTCAGGCGCGCGCAAGTAGGGGTTTCCCCAAATATTTTGGGGGTACGCTTTGTTGGGGGGTTCCTGCAGAAGGATTGTTGCCTTTTTGGGGGTGGAGGGGAGGATACGTTCGGGGGATCCCCTATTTCCGCAAATACCCAAAGACCTTGCCGAAAGGCAGCGGCGTCAATCCTTCAGAGCTCGGGGGGCGACTGTCCAAAGCTTTTCATCGCCCTTCGGCATCCCGGGGAAGACTTAGGTCTTCCAGGAAAGCGGCTCTTTCTCACTGCCTGCTTTGCAGGGCCACACATGGGTAATAACCTGGCATACCCAATCCGTTCCTTAGACTCCTCCAAACTCAAGGGAACCCTGAACTCAAATCTTTTCTTAAGCGCGGCCCTGGTCGCTAAACCCTAAAATTCCCTAAAACTGAACCTTTGAGCACAGAGAAATCCTGAATTGCAGAAACGTGAACTTAGCCAAAGGCACCTCTGCGCCGTCGGCGCCCAGCATGGGGCCAAAGCAGGTTTAACTAGGAGTTCCGGGGTGTAGGGTGTAGGCCTAAACCCGAAACCCAAACCCTATACCCTAAACCCTAATTCTCCCTCCTAACCATCTAGGACCCTTATCAGCCCCTTTAAACCAAAAAGGGCACCCTCTTGAACCTATGAAATCTAGGGGGTCGGAATGATTACTACTAGCATTCCCTTATAACACCCAAAACCCTTTTCTAATTATTAAGGTCCCTAGATTAAAATTAACAAACCCTGATTGACGGGTCCTGCCAGGTAGGGCACGATCAAGGGAAGATGAAACCTTCAAGTTCAGTCTTGAATTTCTTTGGTTAGGGCCTTGCCTGTTGTTTTTTCCGCGTCAGATGATCCTGCAACGCAGCGCCGCTTTCGCTGACTGCCCTTGAGCAGATCGTCACCGACAAAGGCCATGCTGGCTTTGTACAGAAAGCTTCGGCATTCCGATAGGTGCGGCAACGCTCGCTCCTGTTTTACCCATATAAATACCGTATGCCTAGGACCCATGGCCCAGAGTAGGCCCTTATTCCCTCTTCTGCTAGTTTAGATTCCCTTTGAGCCACAAAGGCTGCCCTTTTTGTTCCTAGGTTGCTCTTGGGCAGAGATTTTGGTATATCATGTTCTTCGTATTCGTTGAGTACGCGGATTTTGGTTCTCAGCACATTCCTGCTAAAGCCTTTCTTTTTTGTTGTGCCTCGGCTCGCCATCTTTGCTTCAGAGCATCTCATACAATGAGAGTTGCCGCGTGCCACCCAGCACCTTTCGGACAATCCTGTGCGCAGTCATCTTCGTCGTTAAGATGCCGGCAGATCGATGGCTCTGTCACAAATGAAGTGCGGTCATTCAGTGGCTCCGGCTCTCAGGATCCAGAGTTTAGGGTTTAGGGTTTAGGGTTTCGGGTCAACCCTAAACCCTACAGTGGAGACCCGACTGGCCAGAACGTGGTGTTGCAGGTCACGTGCCGCAAGATCAGGTTGCAGGTTGGCTTTAGGGTTTAGGGTTTGGGGTTTGGGGTTTAGGGTTTAGGGTTTTTGTTTTCGCCCTGGTCCTCATGAACCTTGGGCCTTCGAGTTCAGGGCTGAGGGTGCAGGGTTCAGCGGGATTTGGGCATGAGGTCTCTGATAGACAAATGCTCCGAAGAGCCTGATTCCGCTAACTCTAGGGTGTCCACAGGGCTCTGAGGCCTAGCGCTTGCGAAGCCCTTGGACCCTCAACCCCAAACGCCTGCTGCAGCATCTTACTAAGCCCTGAGCCCTAAACCCTAAACCCTAAACCCTATAAACCCTAAACCCTAAATCCCGAACCCTGAACCTAAACCTGAACCCTGCAGCGCAGAAGTCCATGGTCGTAGCGCGGCCAGATTGGCCAAACCTAAGCGGCTGTAAGCCCCTCCCTCGAATATAACATCGCCCACCCCCTCGATTTGCATATTCCCATTGCGGTATGCCAATCGCAGGGCAAAAAACTTGAGTTAGCCGAACAGGCGCGTCGTAAGGTTTACGAGAAGGACTGTTTCAGTTTTTGCTTTGGGTACGCCTTGGCAAGAAGGTGTCTTCGCCTGGTTGTGTGGGTCCACGATGTAGAAAGGGGAAAAACCAGGCTAAGGGCACCCTTGCCCTAAATCCTAAACCCTAAACCCTAAACCCTAAACCCTAAACCCTAAACCCTAAGCCCCAAGCCCCAGGCCCCAGACCCTGTGTGCCGATGACCTGAGAGCCCCTGGTAGATCTCCCAGCCTGGAAACCTTAGGCGCCCACGTGGGCATGTACACCGAGCTCGCCACGATGTATGCGAAGTTCGCCCCTGTCAGTCGTCTTGCTTCGCTGCTGGTTTTTTGGGCTGAAGGGTTCGATCGACTTTAACGGAGACCTGGACACTGTCCACCTAAACCCTAAACCCTAAACCCTAAACCCTAAACCGTAAACCGTAAACCGTAAACCCCAAACCCTAAACCCCAAACCCCAAACCCTAAACCCTAAACCCTAAGCCCTAAACCCTGAACCCTAAACCCCCCCCCCCCCAAGTCAGCACCAAACCCTGCAACCCTCAACCATAAAGCCCGAGGTCACAAACCTGCCTTGATACTCCCTCCCCCAGCCCCTCCTCCAACCAAAGCAGGGGCCCCAAAAGCCATGAACCAAGCTAAATGGGGCCCTTACAATGGGTGAGTTTAGGGTTTCGGGTTTAGGGCATAGTTAGTGGGCCAACAGAACAGGACCCCAGAACTAGCAAAAGCATGACACTCAAGACTGCATCAGGTATAAGCCAAAGATGCTTATGGACTTCATCAAGATGAATGTTGCGAAGTTGAACATTCCGAAGCTGATCAACGCCTGCGAAAGGCTCCAGACTGCCTCTGTCAGTTCAGGAGTTTCGGTGTTGGGGTTGAGGGAGTCAGGCGGTGGCAAGCCCTAAACCCTAGAACCCCAAAACCCTAAATCCCTAAAACCCTAAAACCATAAAGCCCTAAAACCCTAAACCCCAAAACCCTACACCCCAAAACATTCCTCCGACAGGCATTACCATTGGGAGCATGCAGTTTTCCTCTACACGCACTATGACGAGTA